TGCCAAGTGTTTCTTTGTATGGAAATGGCTAATATTATAATACTAGTGTTACTATATATATATATATATATATATATATGTGTGTGTGTGTGTATGTATGTATTTAGGCAGCAATCCTTTCATGCATGTTTCATTGAATATGACAGACAAGGTGCTTTGATTTAGTTTTTTATATAATTTTTCTGTTCAGATGATAAATTATATAAAAACTGTCCAATTTTTCTTTCTTTCTGAGTGCATTCAGCTATACATTTAGCCATTTTCAAGGATTAAATATATTAACTTGTAACAAGAAGTAGATTGTTGTGTGTATGTATTTATATGTTTTCATCTTCAAAACATGATCAAAATATTGTGTCCATGTTCATAGTTGATATTATTGAGTGTTTGTTTTTTGTTTTTATTAATAAGGCTTCCATTATTTTTAGCCTTTTTACATGTAGATGATGCTATTATATCAACAAGTATGTCATGAATAGTGCCCAGTAGGTCGCCATGAGTATTTAAATGAGATCTAATTGAGCTATGGTCAGAAAGGCGTAGAGTGAGTCTGTGTGTCAAACAAGTTATAGTATGGCCTACATAATTATTTACAAATTTTGAGTGATCAGCGATATAATTGCTTAATGGGCATTTAAATTTGTAAATAATATTTGTTCTATTTAATTTTGTTCTAAGAGGTGAATTATTTTTAATTATAAGGATGGCGGTTTAAAATGTGTTGTAATAAATAGTCTAATTTTTTTTTTTTTTTTGCTACTGTCTACTGGTGTTGTGCATTTTTTAATAACGTTCTTAATTCTAGTTTCATCTTTAAAATTTTCATTCATCTGATGTTTATAAAAAAATATTAATGTTATTGTTTCTATTCTCATCATTGCTATTAGCTACCTTAGACAGAAAAAGCCTAATATGGAAATCCAACAACTGATTAGGAAATCCATTATTAATAAGTGTTTGTTTTACATTATTTAATTCTTTACAGAAGCATGTTCTCTTGAGGAAATTTTTAATAACACCTATTTTATATCTAAGAGGGCATTCACTAGAGAAATTAAGATGGCAAGTGTCTTTACTAGTTGTTTTTTTTTTTTTTTTTATAAGCAGAAGTTGTAAATGTATTATTACTAAAATCAACGAGAACATCTAAGAAAGGGAGTTTATATATACAATAAGGAGAGTTCCGTCAAGTGGTGGAGTTGCTTTTAAATTTTTATTTTATATATTTTTAATAATGGGCATCAACTATAATTGGTCCAGTGTACTTATATGGCTGCATAGTCAATGAGAGAGAGAGAGAGAGAGGGGGACAGTGAATGAGATTTTTTTTTTTTTTTCCTCCAACATTTTTGTTCCAAGGATTCTCGATGAACAAGTACTGGGAAAGGCTTTTTAAGTTACTCTCATTAAAAGGCAGTGACAACAACAAAGCAGATAGTGTTGGCCACTTGTGATCATTCAATGACTTTATTTTCTATTTAGAAGAGTACATAAAAAAAGTTTGCCAGTCCCAATTACATATACCAAATATAAACAGTCACTTATCTCTACAAGTGGCAAAGGAGAAGAAAAATATTCAGGTTGTAGAGCTTTAGAAATTTAATATTTCAGAGTAATAAACACATTTTAATTGGTTTTCTTTTTAAAATTATTCTTCACAGAGAAATGGCCAAGTGGTTAGAATGTTAGCATTCTGACAAGGAGATCCAGATTTGAATCTCACTGTCAATTTTTTTTTTTTTAAAATTAATTCATCCCAATCAAGGAAATAATATCACTGAGATGCAATGAGCTACTGGGAATTAAAGTGAATGAAAAAGACTTTAGAAGGAACTGGAAACCCAATCCTAAATAGGAAACAAGAAATAAAACTGTTCAAAAACCATGGAGGTGTGTAAACCAGACAATAGCTTATAACAAATTTATTCACAGCTAAGATCCACCATACCATGTATACTGGAATAAACCTTACTAACTCCCTTTGTATTCCACTTTGACAGCTTCTTCACAAGAATTGCTACTTTGTGGAATAGAGTCTTGAGAGGATGATTCTGATTACTACAAACTTAATCTCTTCGTCTAAGGTTAACAGTTATCTTTCCCACATAAATTGCACTTCTTACCTCTTACTACATACAAAAGAGGTTTTTGTATCTCTACCATGAGGCATGGTGGAGTAATGGATAGCAGCTCATATTGAATCAGAGAACTGAGTTCGAATTCCAATCAAATCCATTACATTCACTTACATGCTAATACTCTTGGGAAAGTCATGAATATATATATATATATATATATATATATAATATTCTTCTCCCCCCAGTTATGGGTAAATAGCAGGACAGACCAGGTTCTATAGCCTTGGATGGCAACTGGTCTACCACAGAAAGAAATGGCAACCTAATGCAGAGAAAAAATCTGCTTCATCAGTCATGTATTGAAAGATACATGATCGCCTAAGTGTGTATCACACATGGCACATAACTGACTGACCATGAGTGACTCTTGACCATTAGTAAAAAAAAAAGTTCCATGCAAATATTTTCAGGTATAAAAGCTAAACAAAAAAAATGTTTTAGGTAGGATATTTCCTTTAGCTTCTATTAAGTTGTATATTGTAATAAATTCATTACCCTAAATTTTCAGTTTTTCTCCTTATGACACATGTTGAAATCCTCAGTGTTTAGCATTGTTCAATTTATCACTAACATTTTTTGTTGAGATTTACAAACTCTACTTTCTCTCCTGTGTTCATATATATACAGTGCAACTACTGTACATTATATTTTACCAGAATTAAATATATATATAAAAAATTTAAAGATATGCAGAAAACAATATTGCATTTTTATTAAATAAGTATTTGTCATTGCAGTCATTAAATTGTTTTTAAAATAGTGGGAGTATTTTGTATATTAAATAATAAAACTTAATTTTTCCCAAAATAATTGATGAAAATTTATTATACTAAGCTAACCTAGTAAAACCAACTGTACTTTGTACACACTTACCTGTTTTCACTTCTCCCCCAAATTCTGTTTCAATTGGTCAATGTATCACTATTTTAGAGGATGCGACAGACAGATAAACTGAAATCACAGAATTTTATATATAGATTATACTTGTAAGGGCACCAACCTTGCAGGATTGCCAGCAACTCTAGGGCTGTTACTGCTTCTTTATTATATCGGTCTAGGGCTATGATTTTGTTGAGAAGTGCCAGAGAACCATACTACAGGTTGACTCAAGGTGAACTGGCCTTGTTTAACCTGATAATCATGCCAGATTATATGCTCTCAAACAGAAACTGTATTTAAGGTTCCTTCAATGAATTTGTAGTACAAACTAGTTTGTCTCTACAGGGGATGAGCAAACACAAATACAGTGTAACCCGGATATAAGAGAAACCCGGATATAAGAGAGATTTTCTCTGGTCCCAAATTAGAGCCTGTGTTAATGTATATAAAATAGACCAAACCCGGATATAAGAGACTTCTTCTCCAGTCCCGACAACTCTCTTATGTCCGGGTGACACTGTATGTCTAAGTAGATGTGTGCAGCAGGGATTAGCTAGCCACTGTAGCAGGTAGGCATACTTGGATATGAGTGGGCATTTGTACATTATTCTGGAAATGGCAGTTGAATCATTTCATAATGTGAGTCAGCAATAAATATTAATACTTTCTAGAATACTATTTTTTCAATCATGCCATTGAGGGGATGCACAGGTCCAGTTTTATGCCCAGTGAGAAGCACTACCAGAGAAGTCCAGCCAAGCTTCCTCCATCCCATTGTTTAGTGCAGTGTTCACTGGCTTGGTCTCGTCCTACGACGACTTGATGACAAACACATTAGAGTTACCTAGCAACAGACCATGCAGCAACTGGAAGTGTTTTCCACCTGGACTGCCAGCAGATCAATCTAGCACTGGAAGATGTTCTAATGGTCTACCAAGAGCTGGAGGGACATGGGGTGGGCTTAACTCCTTCATGGCATGAGATTTATCAGTAGTAGCAGCAATCAAATATATTTATAAATGCTAGATCTTCTATTTAAATCTACTGAAAGAGATTAAAATCTATTGTATAAAAGAAAAAAAAAATAGATTGTAATCTTCTATAGCTGTCAAACAGAAAAGTGCTATATCATCCCACTCAAGATGAGTAGAGGGAGATGAATATTTGATTGCATAAACCAATTTGTACAGAAAAGGAAAGAAAAATTTAACAGTTCTAAGCAAAAATATGATTTTATATACATTTATTACATTATAATGGGCACATAGCCAAGTGGTTAGAATGTTCACTTTCTGACCATGAGGCTCTGGTTTTCAGCATAGTTGATTTGTCAGGAAATTCTTGATGTTATCAGTCTTGGAAGACAATCTTGGTATGCATCACTGTTGTAAGGTGCCTAAAAACCACATCATGGGTTAACCCAAGCTTGTGAAAGAAAATTTGGGTAGATGGGACAAGCTGTCAATAGTTGTGCTAGTACAAAGTCATAAATCATCATGACTAAGGGTTTGAATGTACTAGCCTTGTTAAAACTATTGATCACACTAGATTATGCACTATCTGACTAAGGTTCACTCAGCATAGCTGACATATAAACCACAAGTGCAGTTGAACAAACACAAATGTGTCGAAGTAGGTGCCTACAACAGGGATTGGTTAGTGTTGTGGGGCTCTCCCCTTTTTACATAAGATGGACTCATCCAAAGTATACTTATATTGACAGAGAGAATACCTGCTGTTGAGATGTCGAACTCTCTGCTTTGGCAGAAAGGAACCCGGATGAAGCTTTGCCGAAGGGCAAAGTTTCATCTGGAGAAGTAGACAGGCCCTGAACCCATCTAGGCAGGTTCAAAGGGTATATTTTTGTCTGAGCCTACAGGCTTGGAGAAACCCACGTTAAACTCAGCCTTGTGCCACATATATTCTTCGTGGGGGGACTGTTAAATATTGAGATACGGAGACAGACACAGGGTGTTCTCAGACACAGAGAGAGAGAGAGAGAGAGAGAGAGAGAGAGAGAGAGAGAGAGAGAGAGAGAGAGAGAGAGAGAGAGAGAGAGGATTATAGTTTTACTTACAGAGACTTGTACATATACTTTCTACTAACCCACATTCCTGGACTACTAATCTTCACTTCAAGTCTGTATTCTTACATTTAATACACTTATTTTTCTATCTCAATTACTGGCGTTGTTTATTTATTTGTGCAGGATTCCATTCACGGAATCCACAACAGTTAGTTACCCTAACAGACAGGCAGACTTGGAAACAAGTAGCATGCCATTTCTACATTATATTGGATCATTGTAAAAGTTTGTGCCCGATTTTCATTTTTAATTTCCTAATCAAGCATAAATGTTTGCAATGATTTAATTCCATTGATGACACTGAAGATTAGAAATTTTACGTTTGGTAAGGGTACACACTGAAGTGTATATATGTACAAGCCTAGGTATGCATTAGCCAAATCTAGGACAACTTCACTTTGGGACATAGTATTATCACCTGAAAGAACACCTTTCTGCCTTCAATCAGAATGGCTGATGCTAACCTCCAGAAGAGTGACCTGTTTCACCTTTGCAGGCTTACATTCTTGGTTGACATGAAGTGGAAAGATTATATTGAATCCATTGCTAGGTCTGCTGCTGAGAAAGTTGGTTCACTGTATCATACAAGACAATTTTTCTCTCCTGAATCTTACATATTTATAAGTCTACCAATTTGAAGATTACTGCAACATATGATCCAATGTTCCTGCTGTATATCTAAAGATTCTTGATAAAAATCCAAAGAAGAATCAGCAATATTATTGGTCCTGACCTTGAATCTCAGCTTCAGTCACTTTCCCACCACTGCAGTTTCTCTCTGTCTTTCTCTATAAATACTTTCATCATAATTGTTCAGATAAACTCTTTGCTATGGTACCTAGAGCTTATGAATTTAAGTGTAGTACTAGATTGGTGGCTAGGTCTCAATAATTCATCAATTGGTTAGATGCTAAGTTCAATGCTAACAGTTTCTTTTCTCACAGTTTCTTGCTTGTGGAACTCTTCCAGCTTTCCAGCCAAATTTGACCTTCAAAAATTTAAATGCAATGTCAATCATTATCTATTGTCCTCTTGATTACTCTTCTATCAATCTCACTTAATAATGTTTCTTTTTTTTTTTTCTTATTCTTTCATACTCAGTAACCCCTTGTATCATAGTGGCTCTACTGCCTTGCATGGAGTGATGTGATTTTAAAAAAAAGTTATATATATATATATATATATATATAGGGTGACCTAAAAACATGAGCAAGTGGCAACACTGTGAGACAGTGACCTTGAGCAAGTAAACATTTCACCATTTAGAATTCAAGATGAAATTCACAGTATCCCAGGTGAGATTTTGCAGCAGTCAATGAGGAATCTCAACAGCAAATTTCAAGAATGCATTCGTACAGGAAGACGCCATCTACAGGACGTAATTTTAAAAAAATGAAAATTCCATCATTGTTTCTTAAATGGCATGTTTTAAGGTTTTAATTACTATGAATAAAATATTTTTCTTCCATCACTCCTGGTTTTATTGGATTGTTAAAAAGTTCCCATTTTTGGGTCACCCTGTGTATATATATATATATAAACTTGGTTCATGTTAGTATACTGGTATTGTGGGACATGAGAATATTTGCTTGCAAACATCAGTCTTAGGGATGCAGTTTCATTTTGAGTTGTGAGTGTATAAAAAAATCTATTTAAATGTCAATGGTTGAAAGCAAAAGGTGGTAAGAAGACTAAAATCTTTCTAGCGATCAATTCAAGCAAGCAGCATTCCATTCATCTTTGAGATGAATTCCTGGTTTATGCTTAACACTGTCACTTTTGTTAAGACATTCACAGAACTACATTAGAAATATACAGAAGATACGGAACTACATTCTGTATTTAGCAAAGTCTTAAACTTGTCTACAAGTGTCTGATACATCTAATTTTCTATAGTTGAACCTTATATATTATAAATATTATTTTTAATAAAAATGACAATATTAGAATTGTATGAGAAAATAAAGTAAAAAATTAATATAGAAACTATTTTAATAAAAAAGATATTAGACTGTATAAAAAATAACTAATAAAGAAAATTAGAAATTTACTAATGCATTTCTTTTTCAAAAGAAACCATCTAAATGAAGCCAAAAAAAAAAAAAAAAAAAAAAAAAAAGTGGTTTAAAATTTAGATGTAAGGATTTGAAAAAAAAAAAAAAATGTAAATAAATGCTTCAATTTGATGTCACAAAAACTCACCAAAATGAAGCCAGTTTAATCTTTCCATGGCAAAAAATTACAAGATGGACTGGCTTTGATGTTTCAAAAACCAGCCCAATTTGAAGAGAAAATGGGCACAGTATGATTGGATTGTGACTCTTGATTTTTTAACCAATGAGGATAAGAAGTATAGGCCCCTAAGGAATTGATTTAAGAGCTGGTTTCGATACACATGTTTGCTATACAATGGGGAAAATTTTGACTGCAAAGACAGAAAGAGGTAGACCACACTAAGGTGAAAGGCTGCTGCTGAGAAGGTCAAAGTGAGAGTGTCATCAGAAAGGGAAAAAGGTCCGACCGTCTTGACATGTAAAGTCTAATGCTGCTGCTGAGAAAAGAAATAAACCACGTAATGACCAGAGATGATGAAAAACTATATATCTTGTATTTTTTTTTTGTCTACACCATTTAAAATACTCTGGAGATTTGACTATTCTCTCTTCTCCTTTTTGCCCCCAAAATACTATTAATATATTTATGAACTCAAAAAACATATTTTCAAACAAGTTTTGATAAAGGCAACAGACAAGTCATATCTATTATATTTTTACTCACAGATGAAGAGAAAGCTTGAAAGCAACAAGTGGTCCTATGGAAGAATGCTGATAATAACATAGATTGAATCTGTATGGAACAAACCACATTGCATTCAGTTTTCTTGCAATTTATATTTAATCTTACACTATTTACATTATTCGGACTATTGTCCTCATCTTTGTTGCCATATTTATCACAACATTTTGGCCATTGTATGCTCTGGCCTTCTTCAGATGGTTGGAATGTTGAACTGAACCCTTTATTTTGCTCACTGGGGTAGACTGTTCTAGTTCCATGTGCCAGGTCTAATGGATGTCAGTTACCTTCTGCTAATTCACCACCTTAACCAGGTATTGAACTCACACTCTTTGGATCCTGTCACTGGATCTAACTAATGCCTTTATCCACTGTGCCATATCTCCATAGGACACATTCCAACCATCTGAAGAAGGCCTAAGCGTACAACGGCTGAAATGTTGTGATATGTCAACAAAGATGAGGACAATAGTCCGAATAATGTAAATAGTGTACATAATACCTCATCTCAGAAATATAGACAGATATTTAATTTTTTCTTCTCACTTTCTTTCACTCCCTTTTGTTGGGGCTTTTTGTAGTTGTTTTCTTTCTATGTCTGTTATCAACACTGTGTCATCTGCATATCTTTTGTTAATACCGTAGCCGCCAATAAGGAATCCTAGTAGGACTTCTAATTCTCTCAGAATGGCCTCATTGCATAGTTTGATTTTGTATTTTTACTGAAACCATTTCTTAACAGTATCCAGATGGTGTGCTGTTAGTATAGGTTCTAGATTATTCTAATATACTTCCCACATATGTCAAGGTTATCTAGTAGTTCTCCATGATGTATTTTATGAAATGCTTTTAAATGTTTTCTAATTTGTCAATTCATTTTAAAATAAAAAGATTTGTTGTCAGATTACACCTGGAATTATTTGGTGTATCCTCTGCCATATCTTTTCACAATATGAGTGATCATGGTTCTCCACAGCAACATCTCAGCAATCCTTTCTCTTTTATGACTGCTCTTTTATAGTAATTGTGCCAACATCAATTTGCTCAAACTTATTAAATCAATGACTACCTGCTTTTCTGTTATAGTGGAACACACCTATTCTATAGTTAATAGACTTTCCCACCTATAATAAGTAGGAGTAGTAAGAGTAACAAGTCAGTCACTAAGTCGCTCAGTGAGTTGGTCAGTCAGTTAATGCCGGACGACTGTTAGTCGGATACTAAAGCGATCACAACTAGATTTACTCTGCATTATCAAGTTCTTAACATTTTGTACGTCAAACCTATTTTAGGACCGACTTAGTACAAATACAAGCCTCCACTGTGAAATCACTCCATAACATTTTCTTTGTTTCTTTTGCCCTGTGAGGGCTAAATTCTCCAAGCCTTATTATACTCCAAGAATTCTGGCTGTCCCTTAACATTTACTTTAGTTTATATTTTCTTTAGAATTTTGTTTCTCACATAATTTGTCCATGGTATTCACAACTTGTTGGTAAAACCATATTTGTCATTTGAGGTCTATTTCTTTTTTCATTTGTGATAAAATAGTCCAACATTTGCTGCTATATACAAGTATAGGCATGTAGCTGGGTAGCACTTTTTTTCTTTTTCCTTCTGATATTATTTTTTGATACTTTACTATCTTATTCAGTTTCTGAAGATCGTCTTTCACTATTCCTGTTGCTTTCAAATTTCCGTGTTGCACTTTCCATCTTCTGTTATTACACTGCCCAGGTTGTTGAATTTCTGCACTTGTTTAATTCTGTTATCCCCAATGTGTAATTCACATTTAAAGTTGTCCCTTTTGTTCTCACCATCATACATTTTGTCTTAATAATCAAGTTTTGCTTGTTTTTTCACAACTGCTTTAATAAATTATTTTCAGATTCCCTTCTGAATCTACCATCAGCATGGTGTCATCTGCTTGGCATATGCTATGGGTACGATCTTCAATAATTCACAGGAGGGCATTTTTTTTTTTTTTAACTATTCATTCTTTTATCAATTAGAAAGAAACGTAATTTCTCTTTTGAATAAGGTTAGCATATGTAAGCATATTAAAACATGAAAAAGTAGCCAAGTTATGTGAATCGAGGGAGAAAATTAAATTTTGGAGTAAGAAATTTTTAACTGTGTAAACTAATCACTACCTCAGTTGAATGTTGATTTTCTAAGTGTAGTTTAGATGTGACACAAGGCCAAAAGTATGGGGGTGCCCAGTGAGGATTTAAATCACTACTCAGCTGTAATTGTTCTACCAAGACAAGCTTGCTAATCATTACACCACATCAAGGTGCGCCTGCTTCAGTTGAATGAATATCAGAAAAAAGCTTTTTATTTAAAGAGTAGCTAACTACTCTGATAAAAAGTAGAACACTCGAGATACTGATAAC